TCTGCGGTTTATTATATCTTGTTATAATACTTCCCCATTACAATATTATTTCATTTATTTACAGTTAATCGCAGTTTATTTGATTTACATTTAAAAAAAAAAAGATCAATTATTGCTCTTGATTTCTAACCCATGTAAACTTTAAACGTTTCAATTGTTCATAGCTTCATTTACTTTGAATAATGTATTAAGTTATTTTCATCAATTTTCCCCTTTCAATTCGTTTTTTGTTGCTTTGCTATTCCGAGTCTTTTGTGACTCATTTATGAAAAAACTTCAGTTTTCCCGACTCATTTTTCATTCCGTTCAGAGTCTTTATTGCCTTTTGCGTCCCTTTCCGAGTCTTTTCTGACTCAATGTTTCATTCCTTTCCGAGTCTTTCTCGACCCATTTGTTGTTCGTTTCCGAGTCTTTCCCTACTCATTCATTCATTCCTTCCGAGTCTTATCTGACGCCTTATATATTCCTTCCGAGCCTTTCTTGGCCCTTTGCTTCCTTCATTGCTTCCTTCCTTCAAGTGTTTTCTGACACTTTTGCTTTCTTATTGCCCGACTCCTTGGTTACCTGATTCGAGTTCTTTTTGGACTCTCAATTTTCGTCATTGTTCTTCGACATGACATTTGTTTGAGCTTTATCTGAGCTCACTTATTCCGCTTGCTTCGAGCCTCACTGGGTTCGTGGCTACATTCGAGCTTCGTCTTAGCTCACCTTATTTTCTGCTTTAAGCCTCTCGGTTCTTGGCTACTTCCTGTCGAGCTTTACCTGAGCTCATTTCCTCTGCTGCTTCGAGCCTCACTGGGTTCGTGGCTACATTCCAGCTTCGTCTTAGCTCACCTTATTTTCTGCTTTGAGCCTCTCGGTTCTTGGCTGCTTCCTGTCGAGCTTTACCTGAGCTCATTTCCTCTGCTGCTTCGAGCCTCACTGGGTTCGTGGCTACATTCCAGCTTCGTCTTAGCTCACCTTATTTTCTGCTTTGAGCCTCTCGGTTCTTGGCTGCTTCCTGTCGAGCTTTACCTGAGCTCATTTCCTCTGCTGCTTCGAGCCTCACTGGGTTCGTGGCTACATTCGAGCTTCGTCTTAGCTCACCTTATTTTCTGCTTTGAGCCTCTCGGTTCTTGGCTGCTTCCTGTCGAGCTTTACCTGAGCTCATTCATCTGCTGCTTCGAGCCTCACTGGGTTCGTGGCTACATTCGAGCTTCGTCTTAGCTCACCTTATTTTCTGCTTTGAGCCTCTCGGTTCTTGGCTGCTTCCTGTCGAGCTTTACCTGAGCTCATTCCTCTGCTGCTTCGAGCCTCACTGGGTTCGTGGCTACATTCGAGCTTCGTCTTAGCTCACCTTATTTTCTGCTTTGAGCCTCTCGGTTCTTGGCTGCTTCCTGTCGAGCTTTACCTGAGCTCATTTCCTCTGCTGCTTCGAGCCTCACTGGGTTCGTGGCTACATTCGAGCTTCGTTTAGCTCATCAACTGCTTCGAACAACTCTAGTTCGTCTCATTCGCTACGCTACAGCGATAAAGGCAAGTTGTCCTCTGGGAGGTCAACTGGTATAAGTGCAAATTTTATTGCACAGGGATAAATCTACGGTATTAGGACAGGTAGGTAAACATGTACATCAACTTTAGTTGTCCTCTGGGAGGTCAGCAATCACAATTCGGTCGTCTGCTAAATAGCGACAGGTAGGTAGGTAAATACGTCATCCTCAGTTGTCCTCTGGGAGGTCAACACTCATTGGTGCTAATCTTTGCACCCGGTTTTTTTGCCGTTTATACTGGTAATTGGTAGGTAGGTAGGGTCGGTAGGCTGGTAGGACCAGGTAGGTTCTTGGACTAGCTTTAAAATCGCAGTTAATTGTTAATACCGAGGACACTTTGAACGACCGCTCAATTTTCCCTCGGAGGTAGGTACAAGTGGTAAGGTACAGTGGTAATTGGTTAAACTTTATCCATTATTTCGCTCCTTTCTTACGAGCATCGGTGGTATTCGGTATAAGTTGGTAGGTTGGTAAAGGTAAATTCATATACTGGTATAAGTTGGTAGGTATTGGTTTACGTCTCCTGGTTCAAGGTATGGCCCCATCCGGTAGAAATAAAACGACGCAAAACAATGACAGCGATCCTTCGGAACAAAATGGTACCCAAACGCAAGATACCAATCAAAACGTTCAAGAGACTGGCGTTCGAAAATTGGTTTCGCTTCGACGTCATCACGAAATGGAGATCAATACTTTGATCGACATGCTCGAAAACAACATCTACGAGGAAGAATATGATCTTGAACTCATCAATGAAACGTTCACTGAATTGTCTCAATTCCAACAAAAACTTGATACCCTGAACGATCAAATGTTACAGGCTGGTTCTGAACACGATTTTGAAGAACATTCTCACTGGACAGTACAGTTGAAACAGAAAATCCGAGTATTTTCAATGAAAGTGAAAAAATATTTGAAAAAACAAGTATCAAATCCTGCTACTTCTACAATTCCAAATAACAGCGCTCAAGAAAATGCTACTTCAATTTTCCCACAGGAAACCGCAACCTCCATGCCGACTGCAAACATAATGGAGATACCAAACAACAACCTTATAACCATGAGCAACAATACTCAAGGCAATGCAAGAACAGCTGCCTCTGACGACAACCTTTCGGCGCCATTTCAAGGCGACCAATCATTTTCAAATCCATTTGCTAGTGATGTTCCTAACCACAGCTCACAACAAGCTAGTGCTGCAAACCCTCCTAACAACAACAATCGAGCTTTGGCAACTAATTCAAGCGACACTTCTACTACATTCAGTCGATCAGTGCCAAAACTGAAGCCTACAATTTTCAATGGCAATCCCAACTATTGGTTGCACTGGTATGGTGTATTCGTATCATCGATTCATAATTCTAATATGTCTCCAACTGAAAAGATGATCCATCTTCAATCATTGGTAACTGGCCCAGCTAAACTAATGATAGCTGGTTATGGTGCAAACGGCGACACATACGAACTAGCACTACAACGTCTTCGTGAAAACTTTGGCAATACCAATAGAATTGTCAACTCTTTTGCAACGTCTTGCAAATTTCAAACCTCCAAATCTGGCTCAACCAGAATCATACATGCAGTTTTCTGCTTTTCTCCTAACTTTAGTGGACAATTTTGAGCAACTTGGTTTTGTTCACGATATTTGTTCTACAACAAACTTGAACACTGCTCTGGCAAAGCTTCCCGACCCTGTGAGATTAGAATGGAATCGCTTCGTCATCGACAAAGACTACGATCAACCCTCCTTGAGACATCTAGCACAATGGTTTCAACGGTACGCACAGGCGTGTCGCGACATGCCTCCGACAGGTTTCCGAAACCAAAACAATAACAATTTTAACAATTCTTCTGGAAACGCTAAACACCCTTGTGGTTCCCGTTTCAATGGTTTTACTACAAATGGTGTAGGAAATCAAAATCAGCGCTTTAACCATCAGGGAGATCAACAAAACTCTCGTGCTCAGAATAATGTAAACTCGAATGCTTGTCCTAGTGGAGACACCTGTGGACCTCTCTACAAATGCGAGCACTTCAAAGCTTTAGACCCTAAGCAACGAAAAGAGCATGCCCGAAAAATGCACTTATGCTTTAACTGTCTAGGGAATCATAGGTTTACTGACTGCAATTCGAAATCGCTCTGTCGAACCGATAATTGTGGTAAAAAACACCACACTCTACTCCACGATCCTTCTGATACTTATGGAAAAAACCCTAGTAAAGCTGCAGTGAATCGCGCAATAGCTTGTCAGAGATCAGGTCAATCAGCTTTTGTACCAATCGAATTATCAATTGGTGATAAAACACTTTGTACCTACGCTTTCTTAGATAGTGGTAGCTGCGTAACTCTACTACTGGACTCAGTGGCAACTCAACTAGGCTTGGACGTCAACAAGAAGCACTCACTTCCCATATCTGGATATCATGAGACCAAGTCAGTTCAAGTTACATCTGTGGATGTACAAATTAGACCATACAAAAGCACATCGACTCCAATGACGCTCGATGACGTACTCACGGTAGATGAAAATAATTTGGCCCCAGTTGATATTTTTCAACTAAACGCAATGTGCAACAATTTTCCACATTTAAAGCATGTTAAATACCCGGACTTAAACGACAATAGCATATCGCTAGTCATCGGAAACAACAATCCAGAATATCATGAGATCAAAAATACCGTTTATGGCCCCAAGAATGTTCCCTGGGCTATCGAAACCCTTTTGGGATGGACATGCACAGGTCGGAACAAAACGCAATATAATTCCGTTCCATCTGTTCCGGTGAACTTCACACAAGTTCATTCACACAATAACTTAGATGAAAAATTATACCAGAAAGTTCTCAACTGGATGAAAATAGAAAACACAGGCATCGCTTCTTCAAAACGCTCGCACTCCAAATCGGATAAAAGAGCAATCGATATTCTCGAAAACTCTTGTACTTTAGTAGATGGTCACTATCAAATTGACCTTCTTTGGAAAGAGGATACTGATCTTCCAAATAACCGTTGGCTAGCTGAAAAGCAACTCAACAGCCTCGAATTTCGCCTTAAAAGTA